TGTAATGTTGTGCTTAACTGAACTGTAATAGCCATAAATTTAATTGTTTTAAGGCAAAAATTCACTTAAAAACAGTACAAAATTACAAATACACGCCTCACTTCACAGTGACTATCAATAGTGCCAAAAAAAGTCTAAAACTATTAAAATAACTATTAATAACATAATTATAGACCAATTAAAATAACTCTAGCCTAAAAAAAGGTCGTTATCTCGGAGCTTATATTTAGATGAATACAATTATTTGGAGCATTTATATACATGCCACACAAATCCAATGTATTTGCATATCTAGCATGTAAGCATTAATTCATATGTACGTGCATACCATTCAATTTTTCAACATCATATCAAAACTACCATGAAGGATTTCTTTATCAAGCCAACAATCCAAAGAAAATTGCATGGAAATCATAATGGAAAAAGTAACGGAAAAAATAATGGAAAAAATATTGGGTGAATAAAACTTTATTAAAAACTTAAAATGGTTATTACAAATTTTCAGCTTTCCAAGGAGGCGATACTTAACATTTTTTAACTTTGGGTACAACGATGGGTCATCTATAACAACTTCACAGAGAATAAGGAAAGAAACAGTCTTGCTTGCAGCTTTTCTTGCAAACTTTAGCTCATCCCTTCATGTGCAAGAACCCAACACATCATTATTACAACTTTTCAACTTTTCTTGCTTGCAGTTCAAAGCAGCCTTCTACCCGATGTTTTGTATCTTCATTTTCTTGAGCTTAGGAGGCAATTAGGGCAACTCCTGCCGATTTGACAAGTTATCGAGGAAGAGTTAAGTTAAGCAAGGAAAGAAGCAGTAATATGCTGCTGCACCTGCTCCATCAAACCAATCCTCTAATACTTGTAATCCCTTAATATTTAGCACCTCCAACGATGGAAACACAAACCTTGTCATTCCCATGGAATTTACAATCAAGCTGCTTTGCTTTTGGCATGTTACAAAGGTACAGAGACTTGAGGTGGGGAAGAGTTCAGTTAAGGAAGGAAAGAAACAGTCATATGCTGCTACACCTGTTCCATCAAACCAATCCTCCAATACTTATAATCCCTTAATATTTAACACCTCCAACGATGGAAACACATTAACCTTGTCATTCATATGGAATTTACAATCAAGTTGCTTTGCTTTTGGCATGTTACAAAGTTACAGCGACTTGAGGCGGGGAAGAGTTTAGTTAAGCAGGGAAAGAAACAGTCATCTGCTGCTTCACCTGCTCCATCAAGCCAATCCTCCAATACTTGTAATCCCTTAATATTTAGCACCTCCAATGATGGAAACACATAAACCTTTGCATTCCAATGGAATGGCTTTGCTTTTGGCATGTTACAAAGGTACTCCAATGTAAGCAGGCAAAAGCTAATATAAATGAAACTTATATAAAGAAGAAATGGAAAGAACAAGCCCTTTAATAGCAGTTGGGCCACGCAAACAACAGCGGAATAAGAATCTGTGCCTTTGGTGAGGTCCATGGAAAGCATGGGGGAGCTAGATGGAAACCCAGTAAACGGTTAACAGGATGAGCTGCTACAATAACAAATTTAGCTCTAGGTAATGCAAAAATACACGACAAAAATGCACGATAGCTGGAATAAAAAAATCCAGCTCTAATTGAAGGTAAAGTTTAGGTGTTAGATATGTAAATACAAAGGAAATAGGTGGTATTTATGTCCTCTACATTTACATGGACAACATTTACCAAACAGATGCATGCAGAAACATTTGGGTTAAGTTGCAAGAACAGATACTTTGTATCGGTGGTACTCGTCCATAGTAACTGCAACAGTAGCATTGTTCTTTCTCCCCTATTTACCACCAAAGCGGATAGTGTAACAATACCAAAGTTGTAGAATTATTACTCCTCCATTAGAAGTGAGAAATATGAGGATCAGAGAAGACAGGTAAAAAAAAAAACCCAAACGGAGGGCAGGGATTTTCGGGAATCTAGACGAAGGCTTCCCAAATGCTTGGCCCGCGACCCCTTGAGCGCCATATGCCTTCGACTGGGTAAGTCGACGCCGCAGTGCCGAAGATGAAGCCCTCCAGGAATTCTTCCCGGCTCAGCACGCCGCCATCAGTTTGACTATCGACAATCGACACTACCGACGCTTTGGCTGATAAGGCAGCCGCGGGAAAGCTTTGTTAAGCGGAGGGACA